TTGACAAGTGGCATTTTTTTGTGAGGGGAGGCTTTGCTCACATCTTGGGCAACAGATCAGAATTGTGAGCTTGAATCCCAGTCTTGCTTTTGAATTTTACTTCAAGTTTAATAACTGATGTTTTTGTTAGCTGGCTGGATTTTGGTGTGCGGATTTTCTATTTGTACTACTGTGAAAATATTTTTATTTACAATGGTATTTCCACTGGGAGATGCTTTGTCTCCAGGGTAACTTCCCTGAAAGTGGTTTCAAAAGATAGTCTGTGCAGAGTACTATGTCTTGTTTTGCAGTATTCAAATGCCCCTTTATATAGTAAAATAAAAGATGTCATTCTTCTTCTGGTACTATTTTTGCCCCAACTTGGCACCTTCTTATTGTCTGAAAAGTGGGCAGAGCCTTGTAGGTGTACTCAAGAATTTAATCAAGATGATGTGGGCTTCACTGTAATTTAGTGATCAAGAGAGAAAACAGTAGATGGGACATGGCATGGCTATATCATGCAGTTTGCTTTGTGACAGGGTGGAGAACTGCTGCTGGAAGAGGAGGAAAGAAAAGAATGGTCTTTTTGGTTGTTTTTTTTAGGAGGCTGAGACAGGGACAGGATTTTTTTGAACAGCCAGGTTTCTTGAGCATGAAGATGATGGAAGGATGTTATGGAGGCAGAATCAGGAGGAAAGACAGAGCCAGATCCCCAGCTAACATCACTAGGTATTTTTAGGAGTGCTTCCTGAGGGTGCTTTCTGTGTATAAACAGACAAGGTTCCAGGGGGCAGCAGGGAGGGGGATTGGTATAACTCAGTGATACTTGTACTGAGTGGTACACTGCAAAGAGCAAACTATTTGACTTTACTAAACTGCAGCCTCCTGCAACAGATCAAGGGTCTAGTTTCTAAGCAAAAGAGTTGTAGCCTAAAGAAAACTTAACTGTTGAAAGCCTCACAGGCCTTAGAGTCCTGTGTGACTTGGCTTCAGGAGCTGTATATATTCTTTGAACATCAGACTATGAAGTAAATTTGCAAAGCACAAGCTATTTTGAAGCCCCTCTCCACAGTAACACAGCTCAGCCTTGTCATCAGGAAAAAAACAAGACAAAAAAGTAACAGGAGGAGGATAACATCTGGCAAGTGGATTTAAGAGTGCTTTGGAATTCTGGAGGGCCTTACAGGAGCTGGGCAGATCTGATCTAGGCATCAGGGGTATGCAGAAGAAAGTCACCTGGTCTTGTTGGGCAGCTGAAGCAGAAGTGGAAGCCACTGGCTGAAGTGTTATTTAAGGCACTGTATCCAAAGAGAGCACTCAAGTGTATGCTGAATGTCATGAAAAAAAAATGGTTAATCTAGAATATAGTCAAGTTAGGCTTGTGCAGTTTCTTGATATTCAACCCTGAGAAGTTAGTTTTTTGTTTTTGTGGTCTATTCTGGTTTGAGGTCACTTTTCTTTCACTGCCCCCCCGCTTTTTTTTTTTTTGGTAAGAGATAAATGGCAAGAGCTATGAATTAAGGTGGTACCATAGGAAGGTCATCCTTGCTGTAGCAACCCCAAAGCTCCATGTGCAAGGAGGAATGAATTAATGCTCCTGCAAAAAAAAAAAAGGCCAATACTCTTAGATGTTGTCACAACAGATGGTATGTACCTGGACAACGTCCTGGATGGCATTTCTTTCCATGGGAAACCTGCCCTTGGCATCATCTCCTCCCAAGCAACTTGCTGAAAATTTCTATCCTCTCTTCCCTTGGCTCCTTGTAGACCAGATTTATGGTCCCACTTTCCTTTCACAAATAAAACCCTAAGTGCAATTCCAAAGGATAAATAACACAGTGCAGATGTGCCTGCAGCAGTATTCTCTGTATTTATCATTGCAGAAAGTCTGGGTGGAAAAAGCTGGTGAAGGCAAGATATCTTCTGTGAGAAAACTGTTCTCATGCTTTCGTGCCAGTTCTGGAGGATGGAAAGCAATCCTGCTGTATTTTTCCCCAAACATCCTGCTGCAGCTCAGGCAAACTCCAGGTGCCTTGTCTGTGAAAAGGGGCTAAGACACCCATCCTTGCTTGTAGGCTTGCTGTGTAGAAGGTACACCAGCTCCACCACAGTGCTGGAGGTTGCTCCTTCATGAGCACACAGAATGCACAGGTGTTTGTAGGTAAACCTCAGCATTTTACCCTCTGCACAGGGTAAGAAGTGGGCATGGAAAAGATGGTGGCATTAATGCTGCTCTATCCATTAGTATGTCTGAATCTGCCATTCTGATTGCTCTCAAGAAACATTGCACATCTGGCACAGCAGAGGCACTACCCCTGCTAGGGGGTGAGTGGGGCTTCTTCCACTTGACTCAGCAGCAGCAGAATTGACAGCTGCACACCAGGACCAACTGCTTTGTTAGCAAGGATGGCTGTGGTGGAAGGAAGCTATTCCTTGTTTCTTGGGCTGAGCTGGTGGCATGCAAAGAGTCAGCAACTCTGCAACTCAAAATTGTAGCTCAAGATACACCTGAAATTACCCTTAATACTGTGCTCATTTTCTTTGTCTTGATTCCAGCAGTAATTTTAAGGGACTTTTGCTGCAATAAGCCACCTCAGTGTTCAACACATGGGTCAGAGACTAGGACTGCTTAATTGTTATCAGCCACTGCATCTGTGCCCCCGCCAGGCCACTTCCATGATGCTGCAGCCCTTGTGTAGAGGGAAGGTAATGATGGGGTCAGGTTCTGTCATCTGCTGAAGGGTGGAGAAACTGCAAGGAGATCTGGGGACCTGCCTTTCACTGCCTGAATATGGCAGCAATGCAAAGCGCTGGAACCATATGGGGCTTTTCTAGAAAGGGAATTTCATTTTTTCCCTGGGGTTGGATAGTTCCTTTATTATCTTTGTGTCACTGTTTTTGACCTCTTGTTCTTCACTGTTGGTTGGGTTTCCTTCAGGGTCGAAGAGGAAGCTTCGGTTACGTACCTGTAACAGTGGCACAGAGTCAGCAGCCCTGCTCTGTCTGTACCCCAGCATTTCTGGTGGGCTGCAGCTCTGGCTGGGCTTCCTGCTCCCAGCTGCAAGTGACACATGGCAGGGGAGTCTATGGCTATCCCTGGCCCGTTGAAACAGTCCTACAATAAGCCTCAGCTGGGGTAAATGTAGGCTCAGTCACTCTGAGAAGTTGTTCACTTTAAATTCTGCTCTGCAACCACAGAAGTTTCCAGATGTGCAGCTTGCTGGGAATTATGACCTGTCCCGATGCCTTCAATGCACAGAGATTTTGGACCACTGTGCTTCATATGTCCCTTGTGCTTTAATATAGTGCCATTTGGCTTGGCATAGGCTAAGTGACAGAGACACAAAGGGAGTGGCTAGTAAGGCAACTGAAAAGACTACTCACAAAACACCTTTGGCATGTTCTGCAATAAAAAAAGCATCCCCAGACAAACCGAGGTGGACACCCAAGTGCCAGGAGTGGTTCAGCCACCACGCTCACTGAAATCTAATCTCATTCCTGTGGCAGCCAGTAAGTGGCCTGTGAAAGCTGTAACTTCACTGATTTTTCCATCATTAGCTATGACCTCCCTTCTGGCTGCTTACTCCAGTCTCAAAAGGATGTGACCCTTTCTGGAGGGAAGACCCATTTCTCTGTTGCCTGAGAGGAAATTAGTCTCAAGCATTTTTTGTGTTTTACTTACTATGCTTGCAAAGGTGGAGACACCACCTGAATTTCTGTGTAGGCTCTGCAGGGAAATCATGTTTCCATGTTGCATTATGAGCAGTGCAGTGGAAGTGTGCTATGCTCAGTTAACTTTATGTATAGAGGCAAAAGAAACTTCAGTTGAGAACAAGTATACGCTTCTCTCTTTCTGTTCAACATCCATAGTGCTATAAATACAAACTGCAGGGTACTTTAAGAACTGCAAGCCTTTAAGACCTCTCAGGGGAAAACATCACACCAAATTAATCTGCCATCAAGTGGAAATTCTATATTGTTTGCATTTGCCAATGTTCTGTATGTGGCTGTAATTGTACTGAAGCAAATATCTGCTTCGAGTTCTTCACAAGATTGAATGTGGCCAATTGGGCGTAAAAGAGTAATCGAAATGCAGAGCTGCTGCTTTGGGTTTGTTAGAGGCATTGCTCATTTTTGCTCTGACACGATGACACTATGTTCTGGCTTTCCACTAAAACAGGGAAATTTGGGGAACGTGATTTGGAGCGTCAAGTTGCAAGGCAAGGGGAGGAGGTTTCAGCCTGGCACTGCTGCTGCCCTGCAGTGCAGTGTGCCCTGAGCGTGCCCCTCACTTTCCACTTTCCCTCCCTCTGCCTTGCACGCAGGCTGCTGATGGCGTGCTCTTGGGGTGCAGGGTCTGGCTGGGGCCTCCAGTGTCAGCTCCCAGGGATTTAATGGTCTTCTAACGTTCTGAGGATTTGCCATAGATGTGAAGCGAACAGGACTTGTGGAAGTCCCAGCAAGAGCCTCCGTGGCTTGTAACAGAGGGAGCTGAAGGTCTCATCTGGATCCTGACTGGTGTCACCACGTCAGACGAAAGGAGCATGTCAGCTTGCAAAACTTGAAGTCTTAGCCTATGCCAGCTGGATGTGAAATGAAAGATTTGCTTAAAAAACTCACTCATGCCTTCTTTTTCTTTTTACTAGTTTAGCCATTTTCCCTCTTGCCATATAAATGCAATTATAAGCAAGTAAAAAGGTCTTTTTTCAAGTTGACTGTGCTGCCTTTTAATTCTGCATGAAAACCTAACTGCTCCCTATGCCTTGCACAACAGGCAGTTAAATAAACAGGCCCAGGTGGAAAAAACTGCCAGTTTGAATCCTTCTTTATTTCATTTTATTTCCAATTAGTGGGCTTATCCAAAAAACACATGCTGAACTCAAACCAGCTTGTTTATGCTCCGCTGTTTCTCAAGGCGTTTCTCAGTGCAGCTACGGGTCAGTCCTGACAGCATCCTTGTGCTGTCTTCAGTGAGGACAGCACCTCTTACATCTGGTGCCAAGGGACTTGGCCCCTGGGCACTAGCAGGCCTCTGCTCCTCTGCCTTTCCTCCTTCCTAACTGGAGGTCCAACTCTCGAAGCTGCTTGAGGAAGCCGGAGTTGGGGCAAATCCCTCTGTGTGAACGTACAGTCTGAATTGCATCAACAAGGGACATATTCTCACAGATCATTAAGAACGCAAGGACAAGAGTTGCAGATCGACTGATTCCCATTGCACAGTGAACTAGTACTTTGCCTGGAAAAAGGAGAGAGAGAGAGAGATGCATTTATGCCAGGAGGCTAAATGGTGGGGTTTATGGTACTGGAACGGAGATGGAAGAGGTGGTGATCCTGGGACTGAGCAAGCAGGTGTGCTCAGTCCTGCAGAGCAGACCTGGTGCAGTGCTGGTTGGGGAACACTGGGGGTTTTAAGGGTTTTAAGGGCTGAGGACAGAAAATTCAAAATTTTATTCCAGGATCCATGACTGCTTGTTTGGGCTTAGCTGTTAGCTTGATGGCATGCCCTTAGCCCTCCTGCCCAGCCTGCTATCCATGGTGTCCTGCTTGCTCACCTGTTATTTTGAGGGGAATATACTTGCTGGCAAAGCTTCAAGTCTTTGTACTTGAGGTCCATGCTAGAGGAAGCAGCCTTGGCAGGTTACTTGCTGCCAGAGGGCCTGGAAACTTGGGTTTTCAAATTTGTGATGCTCAGGAGTGCTCACAGCCATTGCAGGAACACTTGATTTTCCACAAGCCCTTTTTTCTTGTTTGCTTAGGGCAGTAATGCTTTCTAAGTGTGCCAACTGCTACCCGGACCTCGATGGAAGTGTGTGAGCAAATGGGTGTTACCATTAAGAATAGCTCCTGTTTGTGTATCCTGTTTGCACCAGCTTCCGTGGGGTTGCTTTGATTGGTTTATTATTTCTGTAGCCTGCCCTGTACATCTCTAGTCACTATCCTTCCCTAATGCCTTTATCTTCTCTTCTGTATTAGGTGACTACAAAAAACAGTTTATAAAATGTTCTGAGGTCCCCAGGGATTTCAGTGTGAGGTGTGCATCTTCATTAAGAGTAATATGGTGAGTTCTTCCATGTTGCTCTAAGTGAGCTTCAGGAAAGACCTTTCAGGGATCCAGGAGTATAGCTCCCTCCATCCCTGTGCTCTGATTTTGGTGGTTTTTTTTTCCTGGTGTGGTCACTAATGAAAGCAGCCTGAGAAACACCATTCTGTATCATGACTGCTTCCCAGGTTTCTAGCGTGTGTCTTTGACACATGTTGTAGGGAGAGAAACATTTTCTTAAATGGTCTTATGTGAAATGAAAGGAAATTCTGTCAAAAGGATTGCTTTCAGGTGGAAAAATTCAAGTTTGTAGTCCTTACCCTCTGGATGTGAACAAAGAGCTCATTCTGGAACTGGAAAACCTGCATCTTATAAATATTGCAAAATGCTTCAACTTTCACAAAAATGGTATGATTCTATAAGAAATTTTCAATCTCAAAAAAAAAAAAAAAAGAAAAAAGTTCTGTTGTTCAACTCAATTATTGCCATGCTTGACAATTTTCAAACTCTCCTTTGCTGCAGTTAGTTCTAGTCTTTTCACAGAGACCACAGCTCAGCAACTGGGCATTATTAAAGTAACCAGTGATCAGAATCAGATTTGAGCTTCTGACCACCTGATGGACAGCTCTGTCTCCCATTAAGGCAGCTGAAAACAATGCCTTTTTAACACAAAAATTTCAGAATTTTACTTGTAATCCTCACAAGATTTAAATCAATTTTCTGTTTTTTTTTTTTTTTTAAATTTATTTTTTTTTCAGACTCACATTTGTAGTACTTTGTTTACCAATTGTATAGCTGTAAACAATGCAATTTAAAAAAAAAAATACTATTTATATCCAGAAAAATATGAAAATCAGTGAAAACAGTCCCATGTTGCTTTTTCCCTTTGGAGATGGAATAAAGTATCTCAAATGCTGATTCTCTGTAAAATGTAAGGGCAAGTAGAAAGAATAGGCAGCTTTTCAGGGCTAGTTCCTTGTGTTGTTTGTGCTTACAGCATCTTCATTTCTCTATTACCAGAGAGCGAGATAAAAATATCCTTGTTGGATGATGAGCCTAGACCCAGCCAAAAAACCTCAGACTGATTGCCCCCATCTCCCTGGGTGTTAATTCTGGGTACTTTGTGCATAGCTTTTCATCTTAAATCCCGTTTTGTTTGTGACAGAGTATTTATTTAGCAACTGTTCTAGTTCTGACTAATGATGGTGGCATAGCCACATGCTTGGAGAGTGCGAGCATGTGTTGTAAAAACCTGCTCTGGCCAGCAGGTTGAGAGAGGTGTTGAATTCCACAACGTATGTGACACAGCCACCTTTCATTATCCTGGCATGAGAAATCCGAGCTCAGCCCTAAAGATAGACATGTCTTCAGTAGAAATAAAGGGACTAATATAGTCTCCAAGGAAGAGGTGGAAACGGCTCTGGTGACAGCAGACTTGGACTGGGCATCAAAACCTTTGGGGGGAGGAAGAGATTTTTCCAACATAATGTCAGTTTTGCAGAATTAGAAGATCAAGTGATTTCTATTTGTGTTTTCCCATTCAGATACAGCTTCACAGAATATACTGAGGTGCTGGTACCGTTATTCAAGTTAAACTTACTTCTATCTATCTGCTAACTCCACTAATTCCATGGGGATTCTTGATTATTCAAGTTAAACTTACTTCTATCTGCCAACTCCACTAATTCCATGGGGATTCTTGGAAGTGAAGTCCTACTTTTTACGGGAATATGTGGAAATGTTTTGCACCCCTGCTAAAAGAGAATGCTAATTTGAATTTTCACTAGAATTTTTTTTTTTCCATGTGCTGCACTAGTAGCCTTCACACCAACCTTTTAGGATGTGTATGCTGTATTATCTTCCCCAGAAGAGGCACTTCAGACACAAATAACCTGGACCGTAGATTTTCAGAGGAGTGTAAAGGAGTCAGGAGCACAATTTTTCTGTACTGTGACTGTCTCTTTACAGTTTTCTATTGTGCAAATACAGCGCTGAGTCCAGAAGGTCTTTAGAAAATCCATGCTTCAGTAGTTTGTAGCAGGCCTAATGGCCAAGTAGTGGCAGGGACTGGGGAAATACTCTAATCCACATGCTAGAAAATAGAAGCTGTAGAACAACATAATCTGAAAAATTTTCTTAAAACAAGAAGTGATTTTTTGTTTGTTTGTTCAAAAACTAAGCTACCAGCACTCTACAATTAAAAGAAGAAGAAATTATGTTTATGGCTTGAATTGCACAAGGAGGGAGAAAACCAACAAAAAGCAACCAAAAACCAACAAAAAAGAGATGGCCTTGATGTTGGATTTGATTTTACATGACTAAATATTTGGAAATTCCCATCAAAATTTACCCAGAAGTTGGATGAGGGACAGGAGACTTGCTGTTCTGATCTAATTTCTGTAAAACTGTGCTTGGGTCCATTTTTTTCCCACCCAAATGGAGCCTTCTGCCTTGGGAGATGCTCAGCCCCATGTGCAGTCTGGAAGTGAAGACTGAGCCAAGCACAGGTATGGATGCTGCTTTTAAATATCGTCTGCTGTGTTTTTGTTGGGAGCTCAGAAAGCCTTGTACAGGCTGTCTCTCTACCATTTTATATCTAATTCTGTGTCTGAGAGGAGGAAGTGGTAAGTAGAAGTACACTGAATTTTTTGCCCTGCTTCTCTGGCTTATCTGCACTTCATAAGAGTCTCCTAGATAAGCAACTAGCTTTAGAAGGTGTCTCAGCAAAAATCTGGACAAACCTCGACTATTGACCTTGGACCTAATCTGCATGGCTCTCTAATATACCTGTTCCCATGAGAACATAGGTATATTATCTCTTTTACATGTGCAATATCTATTCCACATTGTTAGCTTTTGTTTCACCATATGCAGAGGTTATGACAAATGCTGGTACACTGACAATAAAATAACTGTTTGTTGCAGATAAATCAGTCATGTGAAATGGTTTAATTAATGTAAAATTGCTCTAATGAAAGCAAATTTGAATTTACTATGTGATTATTTGTAGCAAACAAATTGAATATTAAACTTGAGTGAGGACACAAAAGCTGCACTGCTATTTGGTTCTGTTTACAGGCTCAGACCCTTGTCTCTTAGCAGTAGCTGTACACGGGTTAAGTGACACACTGAAACCACCATGATGTACTGCATGTGACTAGTGCCTGAAGCGTGTCTGCACCATGTGGGCTGACCAAAGTGGGCTTGACAGCAGCACATTGCATCAGCCTCTTGTGGGAGGCAGCTGAGATGCACCATCCCAGCATGGAGGCTCAGATTCCTGGGTGGCTGCTGGACCCCAGCCTGGGAAAGCAGTGCTCACAGAGACAGTCATGCTGCTCACCCCTGACATGGGGTAGGCAGGGAGGTAACAACCAGCTCTTTTGCACCACAGAATGTGCCATAAGCTGATATCCTCCAAGCCTGCCTTCCCAGACCCTATTTGTTTTAACATACAGTGCAAAAAAGTTGGACTGATCCCACATTAGAAGGACGTGGTGCAACCTTCTCTCTGAGCTTGTAACAGGATCCCTTAGGAATAATGAGATTAACTGAGGAGAAGTGGGAGCACCGAGCTTCTAGTGTTATTAAATCTTGCAATCCTTATTTGAAATGTTGCATCGCACATCTCAAGCTACTTTTTGCAGAGACAGACAATAACTGTCATCTGGCTGGGATTTGTGCAGAACAATAACACTTGGTTTTCAACAACGGATTATGGATATTATATCCAGCTCATGCCTGCTGTAACTCTACTGACATCAAAGGGTTTGCACTAGGGACAAAGCTTGCACATTCAACTTTGTTGGCCAAATTCGAGTTGGGAAATTCAATGTTGTTGAACAAACCAGTCATTAAAGCACATAATATCTTATTGTCCTTTTGCTACTCATCATTATCTGAGCTAAATGTCCTGAACTAGCCCTTGCTTTTTTGCAGGATGGATGCAGTTTGGCTTAAGATCAGGCTCCGGATCCGTCACCCAGAATGAATGCCCCAGCTGCCCTTGCTCCATTGAATCCAGCAGAATTATGCTGCTCACCAGGAGGAGAGCTCAGCTGGGTTCCTGGGCCCTGGGGACTCTTCCTACTCCACCATGGTCTTCTCATCTCCTGTTACATTTTAGCCACTGTCCTGTAGCCGAGTGCAGAATAAATTAGCTATTTCTTCATGAATCAAGAGTCTATTTTGTTACAGCTGACAACAGGAAAAAAAAAAAAAAAAGAAGAAAAAGCCTATGGAAAGTTTTAAACAGTGGTGTGTTGCTTCTTCTCACACCTTCCAGAACAGGTAAGGGCTCTCATCTCCTGGAGAGTGGGAGGTCAAACTGATGTTATATAATGCACCCACAGTAGCGTCAAGAGACCCTTTTCTCCTGTGTTAAGCTCCTTTCATGACCACTGGAGAAGGCAGGCATAACCACCAAGGGGGCAGCAGGGGAGAGGGAGCCTAGCTCCCTTTTCACTTGCTGCAGTTAAGTGGAAGAAGGGAAATGCCTTTGAGAGGGTTTGCCGTTTCTTTCAGGAAATTAATGGGCAGTTTTAACCGGCCTCTTTAAACCATGTTCGGAGGTCAACAAAAGGAAAAGGTCTCTACTTGGGGATCTTTTCCTCTGTGTGGTGTTAAATAGTTTTTGTGGCATGCTTTTATCTGGGAACTCAAGCTCTCATTCCCTCTCTTTTCTGCTAGACTTTACCAAACCCTGCTGATTTATGCTTAGGTGTCACTGCACTCCAGAAAAAAAAAAAAAAAATGCAAATTGTACAGGTGGCCTTCCAAAGGGGCAAGAGTGATATTCAAGATGTCGCCCCTTGAGCATGAAGGAGAAGGCCAGTGCTTCCCTGACACCATGTTTTTCCTTGCAGAAAAGGGGGCAGGTTGTGCATCTGCTTGCTCTTGGCTGAGCCTTCCCACACAGCTCTCTTATGTGGGTACAGGAACAGCAGGGCTGTGCTGAAGGAAAGGCAGCCAAGGAAGCAGAGTTCATAAAATAATGCTTATGTGGCATGGCTGCAACAGTGCTGCATGTATTTCTTAGTCTATATGACCAAGATGATGAAGTCAATCATTCAGAGTGTGGTGCAACACTGTGACAGGAATAGCTCCCAATTAGAAGCAAGTAAGTGCATGCTCCCCTGCTTTCCTTTGCTTGTGCTCTGGCTTCTGGGTTTGAAGAAGCTCCCTTAAAAATAAATTCCTTACATCACTGAAGACGTATTCTGCTCAGCTAACGTAGAAATCTGGAATAAACCTGTCCATACTGTTTTCTGGACTCCTGTGTAAACCATCAGAATTTTTCTTCAAGCATGATGGGGAGTAACAGGTTCTTATTTAATTCTAATGAGTATTTGATTCACAGTTTTAAATATGTTTGTGTCTCATATAGTCTTAACTTCAACTTACACTCCCAGGTGAAAAAGATAATTCAGTTTTTAAAATAAGTTGAATTTGCTTGTAATAGTTAAGCAGCAGTCTTAAGTGACTTCTCAATCAAACAGAAGTACCTCGTTACATCCTGAATTTTATATGAAGAGGCCTCTTGTTACCTGGTAGAATTTTTTTGTTCAGCATCACTGCTTATAATAAATGCCATTTTTTTCTCTTCTTCTCAATGGTACGAGTAACAATCCCCTCCCTGTTTCACCCATGCACAGGTCATGGGTATTTAGCTGCTCAATTTCTGTACCTCAGGAAATTATGCTTCCAGAACATCTTGTTTATGTATTTTCTAAACTGTTGCACTTCCCTTAAAATTATGAATGTCAGCAACAGCTGGACTGTATATGATTGAATTTCACCTTGTCTCTATTCCCAGAACCCTGCTTCCATATGGAGTTCAGTAAAGCAGCATCTAAAAAGCATGGAAGTAGGGATAAATATGCACTCTAGACACGATGAGTTCATTGCATTTGCCTTGAGCCCTAACTTGTTCTGCGTGAATGACTTTTTCAGTATTTGGGCATGCATCTTGCAAAGCACTGTTTTTAGTTGCTTTTGTGGCCACCATGATTCATCTGTTGTTTTCAGTCTTTTGTCAACTGATTTGGAACTTTTTTTTTTCTTAACACACATATGAAAAGATTTTGGCTCTCACCTTTCTCTGGAGCACCACCAATAATGACTTCAATTGTAAATAGCATATGCTGAACAGAAATATGTGCATATCCAAACTCCCCAAATAAGTTAGTGGTTTTGAAATCCAACTGCATCCGCCAGTTGCACAAAGGCAAATACTTTCTAATGGGATGGATCAAGCCCTCCAAACAGCAGTAAATGCTGAAGTATCTAGCACAGAGGTACACTCTTTTTAGTTGTCATGTCTCCCTTACTAGCTTGCACAGTGTGGATCAGATCTACTATATGTAGATCATATGTATATGATTAAGCTGGGTAGTTGGTATTTTAGTATCGTCACTGATATTAAAGCTCATCGTGATGAAAGCAAAACAGCAAATAATTGTTCTTTTAATAAATTGCTTACTTTTGAGTGGGTATCTGTGCGATTTTGTGGTGCAGTGGAGACTTCCTTTTGTGAAGGTTGTCCTTAATAGTTATGATCCCAAACTAGCTCCAGGCCTCTGGCATTGTAGCTGGCCTGTGTTTAGCCAATCTAAAGATTTTATTGTTCATCTTTCTATTTCAAGGTTACACTCCTAGAAATAGCATGATGTTATCTTCTGGTTGATGCTGTTCTTTAGGTTCTCCTACAGAGCTGCTTCCCAGCAAGTTCTTCTCTACGCAGTGTTCATAGGACTCGCACAGATTGCAGTGTTATAATTCACTCTTCTTAAGCAAGTATGACGTTTGCCCTTGTCTTTTTACCCCATTCCAGCTTTTATTTTAAATCCCATCACTAATTTGAGATCAAGTGTAAGTGCATCCTCCTAGATCAGTGTGCCCATACAGGTAATAAAGGATGCTTGCTATTTTGTCTTTTGCTAATGAATAGTGATAGGCATAGGGAAAACATTGAAAGCCTGTGCAGCACATCCTTCCCTGTTTTAGGGGAACAAGGGAACTCCCACTCTCTGTGAGAGTTCAGGAGCCAGGTGTGACACTACTTGGTTTGGATATCTCTATTCTTAACCTCATCTACAGATGGTTAGTTTATGCCAATTACTATTTGATAACTTGCCCTGCTTGGCTCCTGTGCAGAAGATAGGCAACATTCACAGAGGGTCTCGTTACCTCTTGGGGAATTCAGTGCTGCTCTTATGTAGTGAGCAACTGGGTAGAAGTAAATGCTGAGATCAAAGTTTGGGTTGTCCTCTGCTTCTACTCCATAGTAATCCACAGGCAGGTCTTTGTAGAATTTGGGTCCAGTGTCAATGTGAAATCGCCCAGCAGCAGCATCCACGACGTGGGAGATGCCCATTCGGCTCAGCTGCGCTTTGTCCCGAGCAACATGCCTGGAAGAAGGATGGTGAGTTACATTCACCTGCTGCGTTATGGTGCAGGGTGGAAATGCTGCTGATGGTGAAGTTTCTTAAAACCACATGATGCTGTAGTGGCTATTTTCTGACAGCCTGATCAGGTCCAAAGTTTCCACCAAAACGCTTCAAGACAAAGAAGTGACTCGGTAAGAAAGCGGCTTTTATACGTTCTGCATTTTTCTCCCAAGCATCAGTTTGGGAGGTTCTTCTCAACTGATGAAAAATGAAAAGGTGGCAATGGTGATATTTCTGTACAAGCCAAGAGTTTTGTGATTTGCTTTCTCACCAAGTCACCTCTGCTGAGCATCCATGAATTCAGGGTATTGAAGCCATCTGGCAATGAGTGGAGAAGAGAAGGTTGATCCTGTCTTACCTAGTTCTGGCATGACTGCCTGCAGTACTGATGCCATGGCCCCACCAGGTTCTTGCATCGTGGGACTAATGCAGCAGGAGAAATCAGGAGGGGGAGTCAGTATCTTCAGATACTAAGGATGCCTTTTCTCTCTGCTACAGCATCCTATGCACAGTTCAGCCTTGCTCAACACTTAGACTTACTGTGAGGGGTCCCCAGACTAGTGCCTAGCTTTCCTTTTTGAATAAAGAGTAGATTTGGGGTGAAACAGCATAAGGGCTAAGAGTTGCATTAACACCTTCCACCCTTCCCTCTCTCTTACAGGTCTCCCACGTAAAGGTTTGGCCAGACTTCATCCACGTGCCCCGTGGGGCGTGCGTGTGTGCAGAGCAGGCGCCGCAGCTCCTCCAGGGGTGGTGTTCTGGCCCTGCTCTGCCTGCCAGCCAGCCCGCTCCAGGCACCTCGTGTCTCAGGGCGCAGTGAGTCCCTGCTGCACGGAGAGTCCCAGGCCATCCTGAAAGGCAGAGGGCAGATGTTCACCACCAGCCAGAGATATTTCTGAGGTCGCCCTCACTTCCTCTCACCTTCCCTCACTCCCTCATAAAGCTTGCCCACAGTAACAGCAGTAAGCTTTTTAGGGCAGATACTGTCTTTCTCTTGTGTATTTATGTGTTTATCACAGCAGAGGCCATGACTGGACTGTTGCAGTCTAAACAGTGAGAGTCCATAGTCCCGGGCTGCAGTTCAGACAATTATTATCCGTCTGTGCTTCCACAGTGAAGTTTTGTATTATGGCAAATTGGAAGTAAAAGCTTTTGTAAGCTACTAGGGCCTCAGTGGGCTTATTTTGACCACTCAGCCTTTCTTTCTAGGTATGTCAAACAGTTGATTAAAACTTCATCGTTACATTTATAAAGTTGTTGTTTTTTTTTTTTTTCTCACAGGACGTGGGAAAGTTCATACTACCATTTGGAATTCTAGACACTATTACTACTGCAGTGAAAAAGCCTAGTCCTTGATACACCAGCACAAGAGTTCTGCTTTTGATTGGGAAGAGGCAAGATTACAGAAAACGTATTTTGCAAGTGTAGCTATTCAGTGAATATAGAAACAAGTTACTAATTTGATATGCTAAGCTTTTCCTTCAACCATGTAACTAGGACTTCCTTATATATACTTGATCTGATTTGTCTTTTATAATTTTCTCAACACCCTGAGCTGAGCTGAATAGATTTGGTCGTGAGTAAGATTTGGTGCAAAATCTTACTCACTGGTTAGCTCTTAATTGTCAGCTTCGACAGGGGAGACTCTGTAAGGATTATTTTGGTTCTTTCTAATGATATCTACTAGCCATACTTGTCCTCATGATAAATGTTCATGGCAGAAAAAATCTGCATGAGTACATTATAGTGATTCCAGCTGCCATTCATAAAAGCATTAATATATTTTTTTAATAGGTTTTCATTTGCATTCCTCTCCTCTGCCCACTCCAAGAACTATCCCATTTCTAACCTTGAAGTAAGTACCTCTATTACAAGGAACAACACTTCTTTTTCTTTCTTTCTTTTTTTTTTTTTATCAGTCTAGCTCTGGATTTACTCTGTTCTCATGTGGTACATGTCTTTTGAAATAGTGGTTCCTTTTGTTAGCTATAGATTTGAACAGTTCGAAGGATTTTTTAATAGGGGAATAGAAATTCTGTTTTTACTGAAGTTCTGTTTTAAGAAAACATTAAATAGATTTATTTTCTATTTTCTAAAAATTAGCCAAGCACTTGCATTACAGGGATAACAGGGAGCCTGTCAACTCATGCAGCTTTAGAGCACAAGCCTCTCTCTAAGACATGGGTGAAACTGTAGTCAATGAGTCAAAGTCTTGCTCTAGTACTGCCTCCTGAATGCCTTTTGCATAAATTATTAGAGGGGTGGTTTGGGATAGAACAGTCCAGGTCAGCAAACCTGAAATCTCTCTTTCTGCTGAACATCACTGCCATTTACAAATACGTTGTATTCATGTTGAACCACCTCCATTGACAGTGTCTTTCCAAACACTAACTGTGGTGCAAGGTTTTCCTAATTTCCTATCAAAGTACTTTTAGGAACCCTGCATTCCCATCTTGGTGTAAGTTTGTTTAAAAACACTTGTCTTTGCATACACGAAGCTGGAGGGAGTGTGAAGACTAGCCCATTCTGGGAGCTCGCTGAGCCTTTACACTAATCCATTTTTTTGCTGAAGGAGAAGTGGAGTGACTATGTCCCTGAAGTGTCCACAGAAGAGAGGGAGGGAAGCAGTGACTGTTGTGTTGGTTTTAGGCCACGGAACTACTGGAAGCCACCCTTCTGCCATGGTCTTTGGGTGATCTGCCTTGCAACTCAGCCACCAAGAGGGGCCCTCTCTTGTTTCAGTACACCTTCTTCTGCCATCTTCACAGGCAGCCTTGTTCTCTTGAATACAGGAAGTTTTCAACCAAATAATAATGTTCCCAGGACAGTCTTTTATTGTTTGTGTTACAAAGAGCTCCACTGTGGAATGTGCTCCCCTCCCAAATGTGCATATCTCCTCCAGTGTCAGCTTTTACTGTGAAAACAAAAGCAGATGTTCTTGCCCATTTTGTATGGTTTTATGCAAGAGGAGACATGGAGAAATTCCCATAATGGAATTGGACACCTTCCATCTATTTTGATAGCTTTTCTGACAATTGGCTGCCCCAGTGCCTATTGCACCAGGTCTGCCTGGCTCCTGCTAGTGACCTCAAACACCAGTGTGACTTCTCTGATCCCACTCAGCAGGTCTGCAGCAGAAATGGGACTTGCATTTCCTGTGTCCTGATCACAGGGACATCTGCCAGTTCATTAAATGCTTTCAAGAACAACAGCTTCCTCCAGTCCTTCCCACCTCATAATATCTGCAGCAAATGTTCCTATTTTTTGATGTATGTAATTCCTTGCAGTGTGGTTAATGACCACTCCAGGGCACTTCTCACTCCCTGTAAAGTTGCTTTCAACCATTTTTGGGGTTGTTTTGGTTGGTTGGTTGTTTTGTGGTTGTGGGGTGTTTTTTTTGTTTGTTTCTTTCTTTTTTTCTTATTTAGTACTGCCTGTTATCCCTTCCTCTTGGCCTCTCCACTGTATAAATACTTTGATTTTCATATTGCCTAGCCTCAGAGGACTGAAGGTTGCTGTCAGGCCAGCTTTCCTAACCCTCCCAGGAGTGGAGAATTACAGGGCACTGCCCAAAAGTCCTGGTAACGTTGTGGAGTTCAGGCTGCCATTAGGATGGGGAGGGGTAGGTGGCAAGTGACTTGCACGGCCCCTCTGGGAGCTGTGCTTTCCAGGTCCATAACTCCAGCCCTGGGAGTAACAGCTGGGTAGAGAACTCTAAAGTATAGCACACCTCAAGAAAGGTGCTCCTTCAGAAATATTGGTTCCATTCTTTAAAAGTTGTCTTTCTAGAAGGGAACATAACTCTCCAGGCTTGGCAAAAGAAGGTAGTGTGTGCTACATGGATATTGAAAATTGGGGAACGATGCTCTTTGTAAGATCGGTGTGTTTCTTCAGAATTATCTTAAGACAACTTTCAGCTTGTGCTCATATTCATCTTGAATTGTAACTAAGGAATTCTGTTGAAACTCAGACATGAACTACTGATGCTGTATGCAAAACTTATTCCTTATTCTATCTGTGTTACAGTCACATTTTTTCAACTAGAGAACAGCATCAGTTCATGTAAACTCTATGTCCAATACAAAGGCAGGACTAGGGTTCAAATTTCAAATGTGGAATAATTGGGACTAACAGACTGTGAATGATTCAAAAGCAGAGAAGTCTCTGTAGAATACTCAGCTAATATGTTGAATAATGAATACACTAAAAAAAAAAAAAAAAAGAAATAAAAAGGCTTTCCATAGAAAATTTACAGATGGGAAAACAAGGCAATCTTTTTCTGAGTAAATGACTGCTCAGTTCTAGCATCAGTCGAACACTTTAACTCACTAAATTTATACATGCCAGTGTCACTTACTGAAATGCACACATTTAAAGAAAACAATGCTATGATTAAAATTTGTGTAATCTTTTATAAGGAGCATGAATAGATTTAAACAAATTGGTGTGAAAGGAAAATGATTATATGTAATAATGTGGTTGTTCTTAATTTTAAAATGGTTTTAATGATTCTCAGCTCAGTTCCTCTATATTTGCCTTCTGTAGTGGATCTGTTTCTGTGGTGTGTGTCATATGAATGAGCAATATAATTTTTAAATGCTGGTTTCTGAGTGATATTCATATGAAATGTTCATGATCTTTGCCCTACTGGACTTGTATTGCAGTAATTATTCAGTCATGTAGGAGAAATTTTACCATTATATTTAGATTAATTTTAAATTCGTTTGGGCTACAGATGTAATTTTATCTGGACTATGTAATAGAATTTCCTTAATTATGACTAGCCAAAGAATTGCAATCAAAGAGACCTACTGCAGAGCAGGAGTTCATTCTGATGAACTAGAGTGACCTAGAGTATGACACAGGCCATAGGTGTCACCATACCATGCCTGCATCTGTAGCTGCTTTTCTGGAAACCCATTAGTATCTTTGCTGCAGTTGGACCATGAAAGCAGCCAGAGCAATGGTTCCCTATATATGGACTACACCAGGGAGAAAGGGAAACAGTCCTCTGAGAGGTCCCAGAGAGTGTCTTCTTCCTGTCTGTTTTGTCTGCTCTTCCCAGCAATGAATGCCCCTGGGGACTGCATATACTGTGGATGCTTTGGTTGTTTTTTCAGTTAATTCAGTGACTACACCTTTGTCCATAACATAATTAGTGCTGTTCAGAGCCATGCTGAGGAGAAGGCCTTTAGAGACAGATATCCCTTGACAGGTGTCTCCATCCTTGGAAACATGTGTCACCTTTTATGCAATTTTTCCAACGTTACAGTACTTGATTAAATAAGAACAAACTCTAAAGTCAGTGTAATTTGACAATTTGGCATTAGAGATGCAGCGGCATAAAACCCTGCAGCATGATGCTGTGGAAAGTCAGGAGGAAAAACCAACTTTTGTGTCCAGGATATTTAGTAGAAAGCCTTTATATCCTCTGCTTCTTCTTGCATTTTCCAAAGCCAAGATAAAGGAGGGATTTGAGTGCAATATAAGTATGTGAATGCTCTCATTTCAATGATGTATTGAACATTTCAATAATCGCAGGCATTGTATTGGCTTTTGTGTACAGGCAGGACACAGCCATTTTCCTCTGCATTCAGTAAAAATATTTCTGAATTTTTAAATCCTGAGAGCAGAGTGCTCTATGCCCTAGTTTTTCTCAAGCTGGCATGTGCTGTAACCTTGTCATCTCAGTGAAGGTATCAGCCTGACGGCACTTCAAATACACTGATTTGTGGTGGTAAAAGACCAGGCTGAGACCCAGGGCTTGGCCAAAGTAGGTCGTGTCAAGTCCATGCCTATCATGTATTCAAGTCATAAACATTTCTCAGAAAGCTTATCCCTTGGAAAGAA